TGCCACCATGCTCAACTAATTTTTCTATCTTTTATACATTTTAAATAAATCCAATCAAGGAGGTATAATTTGATATTTTTCTCACTATCACTGAACTATTGATAATCATAGTTTAATAAAAACTTTGATAAATCCAGTTGCCTGTGAATTTAAGTCACTCTGCAAATTTCTTGTCTGGAGATGAGCATGAATCCAAGGCCTGGCCTTGTCAGCTCCCATCAGATACAGAAACCCAATGACTTTATTTAATTTCAGGGTTTATCTGATAACTCTTCAGATGGTCTCTCCCTTGTTTAGATTAGTCCTGCTGTCAGTAGCTCTGTTGTTTCTCTCTAAAGGCAAAAATGGATCTATATTCCATAAACTTTGGTTTTCTTATTTGGAAATATAGGGTTAAAAGTTCACACACACACAAAAAACACCAAAATGCTTCGGAAGGAAAATTTTAATGAAATGAAATCCTGACTCTCAAAGGCGGACAAAGAGTGAGAAAATCTCTAGAGGAGAAAAATCTAGGCCTGAAGAATTGTTACTTGTGCTTTGTACATTTAAAACAATCCTCAGGGATTCTGAGGAGATGGTCACAGAAGTGAAAAAACGTTTCTTGTACATTGTAGTGCAGTAAGAAGAGCAAAACAAGAAACATATAGACCATACGCTCAGTACAATTAAGTGACAACCCATCTCCACAAACCCCAAACTGGGAGCAGGTGGGATCAATGACTGAAGCTACCGGGTCTGTGGGATATCAGCATGTGACGGAAGAAAGCAGAGGTAAAAACAGGGCATGTGACAGACCCAAGATCACCAAAATGGAGAATTAAAGATGAGACTTGGAGGAGTTTACGCAGTCCAAAAACAGGTGACTCTAAGAGGTCCATGGAGAGATCATGAAAGCTGATGCGGTCTGCATCCAGTGAACCCTCAACATAAACAAGCCACGCCTGCTTCCAGGATACCCTACTGCCCTCCTTCACCATTCCGTTAATACTAAAAAGAAACAGGTGGGAAGAACTTACAAACTGAGCAAAATAGCAATGAAGGAAAAGAAACGACCAGTAAGCAAAGTAAGGAAGGAAATGGGAAGCAGTAAATCTCACAAAGTAAGCTGCTTTTTCCCTTGATGACTCAAAAAAAAAAAAAAAAAAAAAGAAAGAGGGAGAGAGAGAATAGTGCAGCAATGAAATGAAATGAGGAAAAACAATCCTCAAACACATCCCATTCTAAAAGTTTACAGAAACTGATTTCACAGAAAAATAAGCAAAAATGGAGATCAAATTCAAATTCT